CCATGAAAGAATGTAAACTTGCAGCTCATGTGTCCCAATGGCCACAATGCACGATGTTATTGTTTTCGAAGGCTCGGGCAGCCTGGTCGACGCAGACTCAAATCAACATAGGAAATGTTACGCGGTGTGAAGGCAGTCGATGGGATGTTGATCACATTCCATATTTCACCCTGATAGATTTCTACAAAATAGGGCGAACACCAAATGCCCCGGGAGCCGAAATGGTGTCACGATTGGACCCTCACCTGAAGATCCGAAGATGGTGGGTTCAAATTCAATCGGTGGTAGATTTTTTTTTAAAATGACATTTGTTTCCAGGTCAACCCAGTCTTAAATGGGTACTAGGTGAAGTCATGGGAAGTAAAGGCTGCCCGTGTGATGTTGGCCACATCATCCACCAAGTGCCTATTGGTCTATAAAACATAAGACTAAGCCATTAAACTACTCCTATAGCAATGGGAAAAGGTTCTTTACTTTTTACTTCAAGACATACCCCATTAAAACAATTACGAATTACAAATAAATTATAAACATTTATTAACTGGTGCCTGCGCAGAACAGAGGGAATTAAATGGTATGATAGAATCACTAACGCTGAACTTGGAGAGAAGATTAAACAAATTCCATTGGACGAAGAGGTGAAAAAAATAAAGACGGTCACGTTGGATACGACACATGCTGAGCAAATCTGAGAACAATGTAACTTAAATGTCTTTGCACTGGAACACACAGGGGCATAGACATAAAGGCAAACTAAAAACACACGGAGAATGGAGCTAGGGACTGGAGTTAAAAAGATGGAGAGGACGAGGAGTAAGTTGCATCCAATAGCGAAGGATAGAACGACTTAGCGTGAGTTGGTTGAGGGCCTATGCTACATTGGATGAATAGAAGGCAGAAGAGGAATAATAATAATAAATTACACTTAATAACTGGAGCATACGCAGAATGGAGGGAATTATATGTTAGGATAGAATTGCTAAACAAATTCCAGTAAATCAAAAGGTGAGGAATAGATGTTGGAGTTGGATAGGACACATGATGAGAAAATATGAAAACAATACACTAGGACATCTTTGTACTGGAACCACTGGTGCATAGAAATAAAGCCATACCAAAAACAAAAAACACATGGAGAAGGCAGCTAGAGAATGAAGTCAAAATGATGGAGAGGACATAAAGTGAGCTGTATGCAATAGCAAAGGATAGGATGACTTAGCTGAAGGCTATGGCCCATTGGAGAATATAGGGTTTAAAAAAATGACCATATGCCCTGACGGAAAGGAGAGACCAAGAGAGCACGGAGGAATATAAAAAAAAAAAATTACTGACTGATGACGAGACAGAAGGCTGCGAACAAGACTTGACGGCAAAAAGAAAAGACAGCATGGACGCTGAGAAGGCATCCATCATTCATGGTTCTAGTCATGGAAACGACCTTTCAGTATTCTCATTGTCACTGTATAATAGGTTAGCATCATCTTTACATACTGCTATCACCATCTTAGCGTTCACCGGTTGTTCGTCCATTTGTAAACACTTGGTCTTATTCCAGATCTTGAGCTCTGTGCTCATCTATTTTACAGATCTGGCCTATCTGTATGCATACTGTTAGTTCTTCATCTCTCATTCAGATGCACTCAGACTTCGAAAGAACCCCCCCCCCCCCCATATTTAGTCACCTTTTACAAGACGCTTGTTAAGGGGCAGTGGGTCTAACCCCCCCCCCCCCCCAAGGGTAGACACATATTAATCAATTTCAAGTGTCTTGCCCTGATGACTAGCACTGGTGATTATGCCTCTCCGTGAGTAAATTCCAGTATTTTCCTTTTTATAATTTGGCTAAAAATGATGACTACCGCTTTCTGATGAGTTGTCCTTGTGTGTTTAATTAAGCAGTTAGTAACACATTTAGTTCAAAAAAATTTCTAAGCATATTTCAGCTCATGACCAACTCGACGCCCCTGTGAAAATTGTTATCATTTACCAGATCTACCATCAACTTTTTTTCTGCATTCAGTTTTAAAAAAGCGGCTGGCACGTTTTTTTGTGGTTCACAGCTAGGCTGTGATATCTATGCCTTTCAGCCAAACACATCAGATTTCAGGAAATCCAGTCTTTTACAACATGCTTTTTCTCATAAAAATGAGGCCCCTTTATACCAGTACTACCATGGGCATATGGCTAGACATATCGGCTCTCTGTGAGTCATGTGATTACTATCATGCTGACCATCTTTACTTCCTAGGTCATTAATGGGTACCCCTTTTTGACTGCATTGATCCAGGAACTGAGGTCAATTTTGAAGAAATCCACTTCAATACAAATTCAGAACCTTTGGGTTGGCTTGGAAGCATCTAGCTGTCGACTTTTCATAATATATTTACAGTGGTACCTTGACTTATGTGTCTGTGGCTTAAGCGCTGCAAACATGCTTTGTAATACAGGGTTCGATCCCAGCTGCAAGCGATTTGGCAGCAAAGTGTAGTTGGTTTTGACAGTGTTAACGAGAGCTAACTGTTCAGAAAGCAATGGCAAACTACTGAACATAAAGTTTGCTTAAAAAAACCACAACAGACAAAAAATACCGGGGTTAGTTCTGCAACATCATGTAAAGGATATGCAACTAACTTTTAACCTTGACTTACAAATAGCTCTAGACATGAACTGTTTCTTCTTATATCGATTTTGACCTTTACACTTGAACCTGGATTCTAGATGTGATGCACTGTGCATGATTTATGTTTTGTAAGTTTGTTGTTACTACATCCCGTTTATCTGAAATACGATGCAACGAATGGTGTGTGCGAAACATGCTGCACACACATTTTTTTTTTAAATGAGACAAATACAATATTTAGAATAGATTATAACATCAGATGAATACAAAGAAGAGAGATTACAACTTCAGACAAAGACAACAATGAGGAGAGAGCACAACATTGAGGAGAGAGAACAACAATGGTCAAATACATAATTGAAGAGGGAGCACAACATTGTGGAAAACACAACAATGAGAAGCATACCAGAAACACACACAAAGCATAACAAAACCAACAATAACCAAAATCAATATAACGGTCATACTTTATTCTTTCACCAACAAATTCCATGTTTAAAAACAAACAAATCTTGGCAATTAAATTAACATACCAGGTACATCTTCCAGCTGTAGTTCAGCCTCCAATGCCCTGGCAATTCACAATCACACTTTACTAAAGATCACAAGTGATGAACCACCTACACAACTTTATGAATAAAATGAAACAAGTGACACTGCAAACAACTCACTGGAATGAAACAGTCAATGCTCCTGGTAATTTTATGAAAACTACTACTTTAGCTTACAGAGACACAGAAGATCAGGGTAAGATAACTTACAGACACAGAAGATCATTCTACTAAGCTTACGCAGGGGTCCAAATTGTGAACAAGGGGATTGTCACGGACCAGAGAACACAGCCCCAGCATAGAAAGATCATTAATACAACTGGCAGTGTTCAGGGGGCCCATGTGCTGGGCCCTTTACGGGCCGGATCTGACCTTCAGGCTGCCAGTTGAATAGCCCTGCAGTAGATTTTCCTGGTGGACTTGGGCATCAAAGTACATTAAAAAAAAATTCCACAGTGATACTAATTTGAATCCAAAACATCGGGCTGGCAGGTGAGCATTTAGCTACAACACTACCATTGCTTAAAGGGGAAGTGTGCCATTCTTTTATTTTATAAAAGCTCCACACGTTAAGCATCAGTAATAATAATGTGTTTGGTTTGGCCCTTGATTTTCAGTGGCAAAACGTCTTTTGATGGGGGAGGGGGAGTAACATTACCCAGCAGCTACCCGTTCTACAGCAAACTGTAGATTTACTAGCGACTACGGTGTACGGAAATTTGCAGTCTTTTTGGCAATTTCCGTTACCATGGAAACCGTTTGAAACTTGTTTGGGAAATGTCGGCTGGGGTTTCGGGATGGGTCCTAATCTCTCAAGAAATTTTGCGATTGGTGTGATTTTCACCAGCTATAAATAGCTGAAAACGGCGGGAACGAACCCGATTAACAGCGCATGTCTACGACAGCCGGACGTCCTCTATTTTTCTGTTACATCAGTTTGATTGAAAATAGCGGTAAGTATTCAAGGTTGGCTTTAGGCCTTTAACATTACTTGACATGGTAATGCTAGTTATAATTGAATTCTCCGTCCAATTTTACATTTGTATATAAAATGTCTTTCTTATTTATGGCTAATTCGATTTACAGTGACATTTTTCAGGCAATCGCTATTATGTGGCTGTGTCTGAGAAAAATTGTCTGCCATCTTGTCCAATGTAAACAAAGCCAAAACGAAAGTGCGCAGTTTGGTTGCGCAGAGAAAACTTCTTGTTTCTGGGACGCAAGTTTTAGCAGCTGTTTTTTTTACATCTCATCTCCACAAAAACCTGCATATCTCAGCTCAGAAATGACATACAAGCCTAAATGAGGTACCGTTGGAAAGAGATTGTTTACAGCTATCTAACTGTGATGGATTTATTGGTGTAGAGGACATTTTAAAAATTTGACTAAAGTATCTAGATTTACATTCCACAGGGAGGTTTCTAGACCCCATTTTGGGATTAAAAAATGAAAACCATTGCCCCAACACCACCCAAGCATATGTAAAAACTGACTAATTTAGAGTTTGCTGGTATTGGGTATGTTCGGCCGAAAGGTACGCTGACCTGATCCGTAATTCTAGTGATCATGTGGAATGCCAAAACATGACAGCCTATGATTACTGGCACGCCACATGATGATGAATGGGAGGAAAGGTTCAATAATCATATTCTCAAAAAACATCTGACTGGTTTTTGAAAATGCTCCAGCATCTAAAACAATGAATAATTAACATGGTTCCATTCTGGCTCACTCCCACATAACAGCTTCTCATTATAAACACAGACATTTCAAGTTAAAATACAAAACAAGGAGAACTTTGACAACACTCAACACACTTTCAAACAGTATCACTCTTTCTTGTCCTTGACATCCTCCTTGTAGTGCAGGAACACCAGACTGAGAATAAAGACACCGGCCATCATGGAAAAGGCACTAGCGTAGTAGGGGTACGCTGATAAAATAAAACGTTCATACTGGGTGTGCTCCAGCGGCCGTACAGACACCTGCAAATAAAAAGGTCAGAAGTATTAGAATTACCCAAATAATTCTTCTTCTTTGTGTTTGACTCCAGTAAATTCTGCAGAAGGTCATAGCCGTTTGTCCATTCTGGACTTCTTACAGGAATTGAGTTTTGCACGCACAAGAGTTCTACAAATCAGGCACATGTGTGTGCAGACTGCTGGCTCCTTGCCTCTCAGGCTGTTGTATTACTTTAAAGAAAACACTGATCCTATGTATGATGCCATGCTGCTGGTTGGGAACCTGTTTCTAAGATGACCACGGAGAGCTGTAGACAGGTCTTGACCTGTATGAAACCGGGTCCTGGTGCACAAACACATGTTCAGCACCTGTACCTGCCATTAACCCTCATTTATTCAAGTAAAGGACCTCTTTCCATGCTTTCAGGTGTACTAGGCATATGGGCCTATACCTATATTTTATAGTCCAGACCTATATTTTAAAGTCTGGAGCTATATTTTATAGTCTACAGCAGTGATTCCTAAACTGTGCGCTGCGGCGTTCCAGGGAGCCGCGACCTCTTCACAAGGGGCACCGCGAAATATTGTAAAAGCTTAATAATTAATTGAACCAAGACATGAATAGCCATACTTCTACTTAGGTTAGGGTGGCATGAAACAATTGTAATTGAAAAAAGGTGCAGTGACTAAGAAAAGTTTGGGAAACACTGATCTACACTTATATTTTACAGACCACACCCTCATATAATCTTTCAAAATGTCTAACAAAAACCAGCTGTCCTGTCATACGTAAACCATCTATTATATCTTGAATCCACCTGTTGTGTCTTTCTTTGGCAACAAGTGAATAATGCAGAAGAGTGAACAGATGATCATAAGTCTGGAGAGAATGGTGCATCGGGGGCTGACAGGGGTGTTTCCTTCAAAGTCAGAATGCATCTGCCTGAGAGGCGAGGCACCGATAGTCTGCATACAGATAAGCCAGATCTGTAGGGATGTGAGATTAAACAGATATGTGCAGGATGTGATGAAACGTCATGATCAGAAAGAACATCATGGGCTGGCTTTGTATATATGGAATTCTTGGATGGCAAAGAATGCCCATGATTTGCCACTGCCTTACCTTGAGGGCGACCAGCCTACATGCGGATAACCTGGATGGGGTGTCCAGAGGAAAGACCCTGTAAATAAGGGAACAAGGAGAACACCATACAGATAAGGCCATAACATATTACTCTCCAACGAATCTATCTGGAAAGTTAACCCCGTCATAAATGACTGATGAAGTCGGATGTGCCGGCTGCAAAAAGAAGTTTCTTTCACTCCAGTCTATCTTGTGCAAGTGTTTTAATATCAATGATGCAATCTAGCCAAGCACCTTTGGCCTTTCTCATCAACATTCATCTTAATCCTAAAACCCAGATGGTATCTCTTCATTTCCTCTGATACCTGGGGCTTCTGTTGTTTGCGCCATGGTGCAGACATGCCCACCGCGATCTTTGAATTTAATTCTGAGCCAAGTAGCTTGCACTCTAGTGTGAACAGTGAAGACATTGTTACCTGTGTTGCACTGTAGAGATGTGTGTAGCCAATCCTGTTGTAGTCAACCTTGAACTGGTACACACCATACACATCAGGCAGCTTAAAGTTGGCCGTGAATGTTCCATCTGCTGCAGTAAAGAAAACAAAAAACACGTTTAACAATTTGACAGTCAACAGGACAATTTGAAAATTAACAGTAAAGGCTTCTTATTCTTCTCTTCCCTGGTAACTCATTGAAATGTTGGGATGAGGATCTTAAGTGTGCTCTTTTTAATGTACTGTATAAGTTATCTTCATTATTTTTTGATGCCTCATTCAAAATTTTGCATTGTTTTCCCCTTGCTATACAGTCATCACATTTCTTCAGCTTGGTTCTCTGTGGCAGCTAGTACCATGGCATTCTCATCAGATGGCCAAGTAACCTGTTAACCAACTCAACATGCACACATAATAATTTTGTTTGACTTTAGAAAAGCTGCCCCAAAGGATTCAGAGTGGACAACTGTTTACCTCTGATCTTCAGTGCGGTGCAGACAAATAATCAGAGCGAACAAATATTTACCTTTGGGCTTCAAGGTGGTGCGGACAAAGGGATCAATTCGGACAAACTCCAGCTGGACATCATCGGCTTTAAAAGGTTTCCACTGGCCATCGATGAGCTCTTCAATAACGATGGAATACTCCTGTGTAATGTACAAAAATGAAGTCACATGTAGTTTTGATATATGTTTTGAGAAGGAATGGACTGAAGAAATGGCATGACTGATGGACTGAGCAGCAAGAAGGCAAATAAATGAATACCTAGATTCCCTGGGTGGGTTCCAGGGCCCTGTTGCAGGGAAAACAAGAATAGACTCACTGCCTCCCCAACAAGCAGGTCGTAAGAGTAACCTAATTTAGGGCTTCCTTCGAAGTCGGGGTGCATCTGCCTGAGAGGCAAGGAACTAACAGTCTACATACAAATAAGTCAGATCTGTGAAAGAAATGGATGCGCATGCAACGCTCACGTTCTGGAACAAGAACATCCACAAATAGATGAACAACCAGAACTTTCCACCAGAGTTTACATCCAGTAAATGCAAAAAAAGAAGTATCTAGATGACTTGGAAAAAAAAAAATAGATGGTGAAAGACAAGACAAATGCCCTGATCTGTGATTCTGGTGATGTATGAGATGGTGAATGAAATGAACCAGGACGTAAACTTGACTTTACGCTTTCAACTATCTTGAAATGATTCTGATTCAACTTGGAATGGATCGTGGTCTACTTGGAATGAAGCGTGGCTTGCACCTTTGAAAGAACCTTGGTTTACACCCACTTCAACGTCTAGGGTTGACAACACACACTAACGCCACTCAGCTTCATTGTACAATCTGTCAGTTTATTCTGATCCATTTACTTCACTCGCGACACATTCGAACATTAACCATTTGCCCGACATAAAGACGACATCCTCAAATACTACAACCGTCTTCTCTGACTTCTGATGATTGACTGACCACGAGGCTAGCTCGGGCTTACTCCACCGGCCACAAGTATCTCGTGCCGTCACTTGTAGCACGGACTTCCTGCTTGCCACAATGTACTCGTGGAGGCCATGCAAAGCAGGGTCATCACACTCTCCCCCCTTTTTAACAAAATGACACAATGGAACATCAAGTGTCATTTTCATTTAACCAAATATTGTAAATCAATTTAATTGTATTGCCACTATGGAATTATGGTTCCTGATTATCCTCAATTACTGCCCTTTAAAAACTGCCTTCAATATTTACTGCATGCTTTTCCTAGTACTGAGCAGGTGAAGAGTTTAAACCATCTTTGCACCTATTGCATCTGTAGTAGTCTAGTCACTATATCTACTCTATCGGGTTTAAAGTGAAATGATGATAGTGATGATGATGATGTCAGCTTTGAGATATTTACTACATAGAAAATTGGATTTAACCAATATTTCTACATCACCTTTCACAGGGTGTTAAACCCCAAGGACTCTTAGCCGATATGACAGTGGAAAGATATATTTTTCACAGTGCTTCTAGTTTCCCAAAAGCCCCTATAACACCTTTTACAGGGTAATTACCCAACCCCAAGGAATCCACCACAGAAAAAAAAAATGCATGTAGAGATATTTTTTCATAGACCAAAGTCTCACCTTTCACAGAGTAATTACCCAACTCCAAGGAATCCAACATGTAAACAATGATAATTGAGATATATTTTTCATAGATCTTAAGAGTTTCCTCCAAGTCTATAACCACCTTTAACAGAGTATTCAACTCCAAGGAATCTCAGATGAAATGATGACTATTGGGATGATTTTTAATAGAGTTTAGGGTTTCCCCACCAGTCTCTATATCACCTTTAACAGAGTATTCAACTCCAAGGAATCCCACACACCTTTCCCCCTCTAGATGGATACCGATGATTTCAACTCCTCTACTGTGCTTGTGCTTTGATGTGTGCACTCTTTCTTTACCATCAGTCTAGTCAGCATCAGTATAATTATAGCAGTTTATAATCGTGGGTGTCGTGGACCAATTTACCATGTCCCTGTACTAAACATTTTAAACTAAATATTTTTATCAAAGTCATTCTGTGGAAAAAGATTTCTATATAATCTATCGCTAAATCTTGATTTAATTCTTTTGTGCTGTTCCTGGGGAGAGAATTTTTTTCTTTTTTTTTTTAAAAAACTTTTGAACTACTGTCATTACATGAATCCTAAAATAATCCTAATGAACTACTAACCTAAGTTAACTACATGTACACTATTAAAATACTACCCACAAATCTTTCATTCATCATTCATACCTGTTTTATTCTCTTTCATTCCCATTCATTCCATTAACTATTCTTGATCTTGATCCATCCCTGCAGGCTGTGTGTGTCTTGCTTGTACTCTGGCGCTTGCTTTCAAGGTTCTCATTCCTTGGTTTGCTCGACAGTGTGCTCTGCTCTGGGGCCTCTCAGTAGGCTTGAACTGATAATCTTAGAGATATACTGACTAAAAATATAATTTGATTTTAAGAGTTAACACAATGCTATTATCAGTGTTCAGTGACTGTATACACTGATATGCCATATTTAAAATAATAATTAAACGGAAGGTGTTTAATACACACAGTATGTGGCTGTTTTTTATAAATGAAATCAGGTGTTTATGCACTTTTTTAAAATACTTCATCATTAATTTGATATTTATTTACACAAAACTTAAGGTATGTACTATGATCTAACTTTCACAGTAGCTATCACAATTGTGTAAACACGATGTAATACTGACGTTTTTGTTGTTCTTGACTGCGTTTAAACAGTTGGAATGCTTCATTATTCTCGCATTCTTTATTTTATGATACGTTTGGTATTCGACGATCTTGATATTGTATAGATGCTCTTGAAGTATCGTTTGGAATTTGATGATCTGAAATGTTTCAATGTTGATTTTGAGGTGTCTGGAGAAAAACAATTTCTTGTTCCTTGATGGTGATCTTGAAAGTTGAATAATTCAGGGGCTGATATGTTTCTGTTCATTCACTGTACAGTACTAGTTGGTGATCTCTGATTTCGGTTGAAATAAGACAATCTTGAAGGTGAAGAATGGTAAAATGTCAATTCTTGATAATTGTTCAGGTTTTTTCTTGATTGTTTGGTTGAAGGTGGTTCTATGTAGCTTCCTGACTGATAATAATCTTGAACTTCTTGCATGGTGATATGTTGTCTTAATGTTGATGTTCAGGATAATGGACCGTATAGTTACATGTTAGTAAATAGTGATCCTTCAGTTTATAAATAAAGATGGTAATTTTCCTTGAATCAGCTGTTATTTTTGTTGATGGAGATGACTTTGTTCCCAAACTCGTATGTCTTCATCAGAACAGTCTCTAATGTTGAAGTCTTTGTATCCCAGAATCACATCTGTTCCGATGTTGTCCGTTACCACTACTTTCAATGGTCTTGATATATAGGGCGACTTCAAATAAATATAAGCTGTCCAAAATCGCATAAAAAAATCTTCTCTGTTTATACAGTAAACCATTTCTCCGCTATAATCTGATTTTTCTAAAACATTTTCACGTACCAATGTGATATTTGATTTTCTATTTAATTGCATTTGTGCTGGTTTCTTGTTTATCAAACATTTAGTTGATTTTACACAATATTTCTGACTAGTTGCTCTGTGGAATTGATCATAATCTATATATTTATTGTCCTCTAAGAATGTAAATTCTTTATCCACAGTTTGCCTATCTATTATTTCACAATCTGTCTTTTTCATACACTGAGTTGCTTTTGTCTCGACTGATGTCATTGTTGGAACAGTGATATCATTTGCTTGATTAATTTTCATTGTTTCTGAGTTTGACTTTTTCTCTGTTTCAGTGGCTGTTGTCTTTTTCGTTTCAACTTTCTTGCTTGTATTACTACTTTTGCTGGATTCTAGCTCTGCAATCACAATTTCGTTATTAATCTTTTTAGTTCCTGGACATTTCAATTGGTTTTTTCCTATAAACATGATATGTGGAGCTGTAACTTTTCCTTGATTCTTTCTCCAGTAGCACAGTGAACAATCTAGAGTAGGAATACCTTCTGAATTCATTGTAACTGAATTAGTTTTTGCAAACAAGGATCTTTTCTTGTCTTTTAACATCTGTTTCCCAACACAGTGTTTTACAATATGTCCGAATGCCTTACAGAAGTGGCACTTTTTAAGGTTATTCTTTTGTTTATTTTGCCACTTTTTATTGACCAAGTCTTCAATATAACTTGAATATTTAGGATCTCTGTCGCAGATAGTCGAAGAACTGTGCTGGTACTTACAAAAAATGCACATCTTGATCTTCTGGTTACTTATCGATGTATCTTTCATTGTTGTCGCTGAAGATACTTGCAAGACAGTGTTCTTACTTTTTACCAACCTTTTAGACGACATTCTGATAAACGCACATCAATGCAAAAAATGTCACCGCAGTAAGAAAACTTAGCATACCTTTGTAAATAAAATTAGTTCATAGTCTGCTGGTTTCCGAAACAATAATCGTCACAAATCTGATTTAATTCACAAACCTGATTTATAATATTTACGATATGTACCTTTGGTAAACATGAAACTTCCTGAATCCGCACAAATTGGTTATACGGTGTGTGGCCGGGCGTAGATGACACACCGGTTTTCATTGGTCGGCAGCTCACCTGTCGGCGCTTGCTGTGTTAATTATAGGCTCTGCTCGGGTCAAAACGTTGTATTGTACACTGTTTTCCGCATGTTTATCTTACCTTGCAAGAAAAATTGTTTTCATATGATTGAGGTCCGCGTGGTTTCGAATTTCCTTCGGACAAGCTCCCCACTTGAAATGAACCAGGACGTAAACTTGACTTTACGCTTTCAACTATCTTGAAATGATTCTGATTCAACTTGGAATGGATCGTGGTCTACTTGGAATGAAGCGTGGCTTGCACCTTTGAAAGAACCTTGGTTTACACCGACTTCAACGTCTAGGGTTGACAACACACACTAACGCCACTCAGCTTCATTGTACAATCTGTCAGTTTATTCTGATCCATTTACTTCACTCGCGACACATTCGAACATTAACCATTTGCCCGACATAAAGACGACATCCTCAAATACTACAACCGTCTTCTCTGACTTCTGATGATTGACTGACCACGAGGCTAGCTCGGGCTTCGCCTCGCTTACTCCACCGGCCACAAGTATCTCGTGCCGTCACTTGTAGCACGGACTTCCTGCTTGCCACAATGTACTCGTGGAGACCATGCAAAGCAGGGTCATCACAGTGAAGCATGACAGCCTAGGCTAATTGGCGAGGACATGATGATGTGGCCAAAGTGTTCATAAATAACCAAACTGTGCCATCTCTACAATCGAGGTTGGCTACAATGTATCCACTGCTAACCATGAGAATATTACAGGGTGATTTCAGGTACGATTTTTGTAGTGTCTAAAAACCATGATAGTAGTCTTTTTCTAAACTGCCATGGCAGCGATTCAGCCCTAGTTAACAGTGAGGATTGCACTGTGAAACAACTCTATTAACCTATAAGCCACAGAACTGTTTTAAAAAGGTGCAGGTTTAGATGTGAAGGAAAAAAATTAAACAACACAGGATAACTGCTGTTCTAGGATAGGTGATTGCTGTAGAATGGAATGATAGGGTCCGTTTCTGTAATTATATAATACAGAAATGAATAAAAGACCGTTATAAAATTTGTCTTGCTGTGTGTGAGCACCAGTGTGTATGTACACAGGCATACATGTTTGTATGTATGCATAAGTGTGTGTATCTTTTTTGGCATTAAGACAGAAAGATGGGAGGCAGTTGCACAAGACTGATCTAAATGGTGTAAAGTCTTCAAGCATGGTACATCAGCCAGTAAGGCAGCAGAGGTTGCACAGGCAGAGAAACGGAGGCAGTCTAGAAAGAACCATGTGGGAAATCCCACCTATGCTGTCACTTCCATCTGTTGTCTGTTTGCTCAAAAACTTTCCAGGCCCAAATTAGACACGTCTGTCTCTTCATACTCATAATAATTGTTCATTACTACTTAGGATGTTATGTGGTCTTCATCACTTGTCATGGATGTATTGTTGTTGTTATCAATCCAGCAGCGCACGAGCTTTCGTCCTCTGGCCCAATGCCATGTAGTGGAATTTGTATGTTTTCACAAGCTGTTCTTTTCCTTCATACAAGGTGTTCCACCTGTCTGGTCTCGGAGGAAGTAGCATTCTTCTAGTCTCGCTGAGTTTTGGGCACTCAAAGAGATGGTGTTCAACAGTTTTGTAGGGGTAGTTACATAGCTGGCACTCTGGGGAGTGTTGTGGCTGTATTCTGTTTAGATGTCCACTGAGTGGAGTATGTTGTGATGGACGTATAACAAGTATGTGTATGTATGTACATGCATATGTGTCTCCCAAGCCAGGAACATTACAGAAGTCACCCCCCCCCCCCGAAAATAAAAATGAATGTGCTGAGTATCACATACCACTTGCTGCATGACCGTGTAAGCTTGGGGTGTGTCCCTCTCTTTCTCCAGGTGGTGGGAGACCTTGCCCACTCTCAGCACACCCTTATCCTTGAATGCCCAGCGAGCCAGATTGAGAGCAAGAACTTGGTTGCCTGACTGGTCAAACCTGAAAACATGGATATAAAACTGTTGGTTTATTGTACATTTCCATACTGAGTTGATTATGAACAAAACAATTAGGTGTCACCTTTGCTTTGGAGTAAACAAGGCAGGCCAGGTGAGGGATCATGCTGCCTGGGCAACACACAGCCTCCACAAAACTGCCCACGTTTTGTGCTGTAGAGAGAAAGAACTTTGTGGCCTTGTCATGAGCTGTGTCAGCCATGCTGTTCTATAGCTGAATATAACACTATCATTCAGAAAGATGCAAAAGTGCCAACAAAACAAATTCTATACAAAACTATAGAGGGCTTTGTGTGATTTGGTTGAGGGCTTCGGCTACATTGGGAGATAAAAGGCAGAAGAATCATCTCTTAGCAGTTGTGACACCAGACAATTTCAGAATTTTTTTTTAGAAGTGGGAAGAGAACCAGCCACCTTATCTTGTATGATCAATAAACATCTCAAGGCATAACAATTACCACCCCAAAGGCAGCAACTGCTGTGGGACTCCCTTTCTTCGTTTGCCTTTTAGCCCCCGATGGAGCATAGGCCCTCAAGCCACTCATGGCATCCTATCTGTACAGCTGACACCATGTTCACCCCCTTCCCCCGATCTTTGTTGTCTGTTATTCCTTTTCATGACTAGTTCACAATTGTATGCAGATCCGTAGGCTGTTGATTCAGTTATTGATGAAGCCAGACTGTTTTTCTTTAAAAAAGATTAACCGCAGCCTGAAAAGGTTACTTGGTAAAAACTCATGGAAAGTAAAGGCGGCCTGCTCAGATATTGACATCACCTAAAGAATGCTGATTGGTCTATAAAATATAGGTCTAGTTCTATATAGCTGAAGGTGTGGAACAGGGTTCTTTACATTATGAACACAATTAGTTCATTTCTGGGTGGTTTTTGTGGTTACAGTGTTTTACAAGATGAGGTAGCCAAACCCAACCCTACCCGTAGTCACCTCTTACAACAGGGCTATTTAAATGGCAGCCAGCAGGCTAAATCTGGCCACTAGAGGCCAAGCAAATCACTGCCATTTGTATTGTATTATTGATCTTTCTATGCTGGGGATCAGGCCTCTAGCCAGTTGTTATGATCGGGGTAGGGGTGGAGATGGCGGTAATTGGGACTGCTGTCAAAACACGACACATGTGACTGTTGTAATGTGCACACGGACCTGAAGTAAGGAAAAGTGAGCTCGTGTTGTGAACCGGCTGCTGACAGCCGTCGACCGGACGGTGTGGACAACTGTAGTGTGGCAATGCCACATTTCAAAGTTAAAAGTAACAGAGCTCAACACGTTGTATCTACATCGGATGTTCTCGTGTGGACTGTGACCCCATTCTGATAGTTTGTTCATGTTGCCGTCATGGCCATGATTGCAGTTAGTGTGCTTTAAGTGTTTCAACAATGAACTATATAACTCTTGGTACTTATCAAGCTCAGGGAGTCGGAGGTGAATATGAGAAGTACCATTAAGCCCGTAGGTCAGTGCAAGTTAAATGACCTTTATAAACACGTGCTCTAACCTTGTCACCCTCCTCTTGACCCCTGATGACGCCTAATTTTTTAGATTTTGGCCCCTAAGCACATTTAGCTGAAAGCTGTCTTACGATATGCCTGATAGGGTGCAGTGTTAGATTCCAACCTGAAACATGAGGAATCTTGAGTTTACAATGTCCCAATTTGAGTCTGAAAATCCTGGTACGTGTAATTCTGCCAAAGCATATTGAAACTGTCATTCTCTGGTCCCACTCCAAAGATTTTTCTTCCTGCCCTTACCATGTAAGACATTCCAGGAGTCAAGAAAAGAAGAAGATTCTCTGGTCTGTAATCATTGTCATCTTCTCTCCAGTTCATCTTCAGATTGCTTTAAGAACGTCTGAGCTAACCAACCGTGCAGAACATGTGTACACTAGCCATCACTTACTTCTTGCCTCCATTGGCCTTCTGAACACTGGCCTGGAAAAACTGGTCACTAAAGAAATCAAGAGAGCCAACAAACACCACACGAGCATTGTTGCGGGCCTGCAGGGCGGCGATGAGTAGTGTGCTGCTCCCAACAGCCAACGGGAACTGTCGTGGTGAAAGAAGAAAAAGAAAAAGTTCAGACCTACTATTTTCTTTAAACTTAGCATGTCTCTCTCTGAAGCTAGTTAATGTGTTTCACAATTTCCTGATCCCGAGCACGAGGGTTTGATTCTCACAGTGGACAACTTAATTTAGCACACACACAAACAAAGAAGAAGAAAAACAGAGCTATAATGTTTTTTTAACAGTAGTACCAGAGCTGCGGGAGTCGCGGTGGCGTATAGGCTAGACCCTTGCCTGCGGATTGGAAGGTTGTAGGTTTGCCCCCTGGCAGAGACAAGACTTTTTTTAAAAAATGACCTTGGCTCCCAGTCTTAACTGGGTGGTCCTGGGAAGTATAGGCGGCCGGCGTGATGCTGATCACATCACCCATCTTGTGCTGTTGGTCTATAAAATATAGGTCTAGCCCTATATGCCCAATATGCCTGAAAGGCGTGGAAAAGGGTCCTTTACGTACCAGAGCTGTAATGTGGAAGTAATTGACGCTTTATAATATAATATTCCCGAAGACAGTATTAGTTGTACCATAGCCAAACTTTAATGTATAGACAGCACGAATCTGTTCAACACGTCAAGAAGATAATACTAAAAGGAACGATATATATGCATATAAAGAGAGGGTGCTCCCCCTACTAACAGGAACTGACATGGTGACAGAAGAAAGTAGCCCAGACATAATTCATTCAATGAGGTACCGTCTCCACAATAGAACGTTGGCTGCAGTGAATCTCTACACTCCAATTCCTTGTCCGAGCATTACTCTCTGCGACTGCTATTCTTCCATCTCTTGATGTTATCCTCCCGCTTGCACTGTTACATATCTCTTGCTCATACGCCTTTAACTGTCACTTTTTGGATGGGTTTTTATGTCTTTTAAAGAGGATAAAATATTCCGCTTGCAATTTTTAAAAATGTATTTTAAATGCTAAAGGAAAATACTATTATAATTTACACCTTCGCATGACATCATCATGTTGCAGGTCCTTTGCAGAACGTCGCTCTGCCTCTTGCCAGCTCTCTGGCCTCATGTACTTTCATGTTCAAGTAGTCACTTATATCATGTGCCCATCTTCGTGTTGGTCGGCCACTGCCCCTCCTCCCTAGTACCAATGCCTTCTGCTATTATTTTTTTCAAATCTGTGGTGGCGCTTGTACTCAATCCTTCACATGTACAGTTAATATAGGTTAAGAAAAAAAAAATACAAAGTGTTCTACTGGTAGCCTATACCTATACATTAAAAACACACCAAAATTATCTCTGCTTCTAGCTTAAGTTTCTGCTGTGTTGAGTTGCTTCTTGATTTAAGCTACACTGCATTCACCCTTATTTTTAATGATGGTAGTTTGAAGAGTTGCAATAATAGCTTTACCTCATCAATTTTCTCGTCTGGCTTGTAAGAGTAGGCGGTGGAAGAGGCATGGAGGACGTTCAGCACTAGGGGGTTTTCTGGGTCACTCACCATTCTGTGTACAGTAAAATCAACAAAGAGAGACTAAGTCTTAATTACGAAATAGAGAGATTTTCAATTATGAAACAAAGAGATGCGCACAATCATGAAACAGAGATATAGTCATGAAATAAACGGATCCCCACTCAGGAAACAATTGAAGCAACAATAAAACATTCACACATCACACAAGAGATCCACAGATCTTGGACACATAATCATGAAACAGACAGATCCACAATCATGAAACAGATGGATCACAAAACAGATCTTCAATAATTAAGCGCGCCCCCAGTAGTAAAAGGCAGATTCAAAATCACAAATCAGGCAAATCAATCACATGGAGACTTGTAGACATCACTGGTCAAAAACAAAATCAATCAATCAGGTGCCATCTCCCCAATAAAAGTCAGCAGCACTGTTAACTCCAGCATGCTCCATTGCTCATCCTCCTGGCTGCACATTCTCTCAGACTGGTGCCCACCCATCTCTTCATGTCATCCTTCCACTCCTATTGCTGCTTACCTCTTGCTCACCTACCTCTAACTTCGATCTCAAGGACACATCAATCTGATCGTTTTGCGTTCATGTAATATAATGTATCTTTATCTCCAGAATCTCACTTAGATATCTTAATTAATTGTTCACTGTCAAGCTTTCTATGCCAAGAAAAGACGCATGCTCTTAAACATATTTTGTAAATGTTCTACCAAACATCTGGTGTCTGTGGCAATGGGGTTATGAATGGAGTCCTAATTCCAAAATGCCTGGTTAGATTCAGTTACAGGCAATTTTGGCAGCATACTTTTTATATTACTTTCAACAATAGTATCAGTGTTATGTTCAAACGTTTCAGTGTAGGAAACACGGAGACGTATCCCTGCAGCGTGGTACCCGAAAGTGCTCTAACACTGTCAACTGTATGCTGACAACAGAGATGCAATCTGGCCTGTTCCAATTACAATGAAGACAAAGTGGTATAGTATACGAGAAGATATGGTCTGCACAATAGCTATTTTATAGGCTACCGGCCTCCTGATTTAAGTTCTCTGGCGGAAGGATTGAAGAAGAAGTGTCCATTCAGTGGCTAACGGCAAACCTCTGAATGCTAAATTGCCCAGTAAAAACAGCCAGCAAAAGCTGGTTTTGGTTTGCGACACCCCTGAAAAGAAAATGCAACTAACTTTGTGTTTGTTTTTTAAACTAAACATAACACCACCTCCCAGTACTTACCCCACACCTCTGAAGAGTAGGGGAGAGTTAATCTTATCTCCTACAATCAAAGGGGCCTTCAATAGATTTTCAGTATCTGCTACAATCAGTGTGTGCTGGAAAAAAAAATAATACTATTTAATGTCTTCTGCATGTATTATAAAGCATATTTAGTAGAATAAAGATAGTTGACTACTTAAGTAAAGTTTACTAACATCTACAGAGACTACAAAAAATATCACTCTAATCAGGTGCAAGACAAACTGAACAAAACTGATGAGAGATCACAACTAGGTCTAAAAATCCATAAAGGAAAGATAAAGATAATAAGAATAAATCAGGATGTGGAGTCATAAATTTATTTACAGTTATGGGTGATGGAGATAAAAGCGGGGGAACTGATAAAAGATTTAAATTAGAAAATCTGTAGAAAACAAGAGAAATTAAATATTTCGCTCTAGTGTCAAACCAGAAAGGTAATATGGAGCTGAAACACAAGGAACAGCTAAAATATTTGGCTCTCCTTTAAATAACGGTCGCTAGCTGGAAGGCGACGGTCGCTAAGTCAGAGTTCACTCCCTTGGATGCAGTGCAAATACGGAGTGGTAAAGAGGGAACGAAACAAATGACATACTCACCTGTCATGCTACGATTGCTTAGGGTTAGGCTTAGGGTTAGGGTAACACATGAATGCAGTCCTGCCGAGGTGCTAAGGACATAGGTCGGTTGCACGAGGTACATAGCTGCATGTTCCTTATAAGTCTATGCTTAGCTAGCCACCGCAACCACGCAAACTTATCGGTCATACAGATCAGGCATACAGATCTGCAGGAGTCACATCCGTGGCGACTAAGTCGTGCGTCGCAAGAACGCGGTTGCTAATGTGGACTCGTGACTTGTCCACTCCGTATTTGCACTGCAGCCAAGGGAGTGAACTCCGACTAAGCGGCCGTCGCCTTCCAGCTAGCGACCGCTATTTAAAGGAGAGCCTAATAATTACTAATAAACTACAAATATTCATTAACTGGTGCTAGCACAGAATAAAGGGAATTAAATAGTATGGCAGAATCCCTAATGTAGAGATCTGGAAGAAAACTAAACACATTCCATAGAATCAAGAGGCGAAGATGCTAATGGTAGATAGGACACATTGTGAAAAACCTTTACACTGGAAACCACACAGGGAAAGAAACTAAAGAGCGATGTGAAAAAAGATGGGGAGGACATAGTGTGAGCTGAATGTGACAACAAAGATTAGAATGACTTTTCGTGCACTGCTTGAGAGTGTGCTTCAATGGAGGACAAAGAGCAGAAGACAACAACAACAAAAACATGCCACACCTTGCCCTCATCTGCAACATCATAATTCAGATGGTCAATGACAGCAGTGCCTTCCTCATCAAATTCCACCCCACACTCAGTAGCCAACTCTCTAACAGGGTCGCCTGAAACACAAGGAAACAATGTATCATTAGCAAGAAAGTAAGTAGCTTTAAAATTATGACATAATTTATAACTATATATATATATATATATACACACACATTTATATATAAAATGGCTAGAGATACTTGCCTGCAGCTTGACGATTTTGGGCTGAGCTTTTTATGGCTTTGGCTCCAAGTGAATTTTTTTTTTTAAACTGACTTGGCTTCCAGGTTACCCCAGCCTAAAATAAGTACCAGACAACATCATAAGAAATAAAGGTTAAAGGTGGCCGGCAGGATATCGACTACACGGTATGTTTGTGTGTGTGTATACATATATAAAAAGAAAACACGCTGGCATCTTATACACCAGTTTGTGAAGACAAGTCGTCTGGACAGATAATACTTTGCCTAAGTCACCTTCCCAAGCAAAGACCATCTCAAAAGTTAACCACCTTCCCATAAAGATTACAGTTGAACCACTGTAAAGTAGAAGGGGCTGCTTCTATCTCTACTAACCTACTAGACCAAAAAAAATAAAGTTAAACTACATTTCCATTACCAATGTTGGAGCTAGCTGCAATGAGAACGTTGCCTCCGCCATCTATAAAGCTAGTGATTGCTGCAACATCTATAGATCCGCCGAACTCTGAAAAAAATATGAAGAAACATCTTTAATAAACAAAACCATATTAGCTCTTCAAATTTTATTTTTTTAAAGGTGGAGGGGTGGGAAGGAAGAACATAAAAGATAAAAGAACACTTCTATTATGGATATAGTGAAATGATAATAGTTTCTTTAAGCTAATTACATTATAGGAATATCTTCTGCTTCTTGCAGACAACATTCTTCTTCTTCTCTTTTCTCTGTTCTGTCTTTTAATGTCAGGTTTTGAAAAGGCCTCTGGTGCAATATTCATACTGTTTTTGTTGATGTATAAGATGCACTTTTGTGTTCTTAAAATAGGCCTTGAAATTAGGCGGCATCTTACACATTGTAAGGTCTATATGCACCATTATTTTTCATTGTTGCCTGCACTCTAGTTCTCCTTTCCAAGATCTTGGAATGCTCCATGTTCAAGTGATAACAATGCGACCGCAGCCTTTTGTCTTTACTGATAACATGCGAGAGAGAGAGAGAGCAATACTATCGGTAAGTTAGATTTACAGATTAGACTTGCGTCTGTTAACGATACTGTGCTGATAGTTCATAAGTCTGTCTACTCAATTGCAATTCCAATATGAATAAAAACAGCCTGTAAGCGACATTCCTACATCACGAGTTTTAAACCCCGGGTGATATAAAATATGCCAAATAACATGGTAACAATTCAGCAGAACATCATTTTAGACTTACAGTAACCAAAAAAAAAAAACTATAAGGCTTTTGCGCTCTCAACAGGATAGTTTTTCACTTTATGACACAGTCTCCCAGGCTAACCCAGCCTTAAATGGGTACCAGACGAAAGTCATGGGAAGAAAAGGTTGCCAGTGTGATGCTGACCACATCCACCAATGAATGCCAATCGGTTTATAAAATACAGGTCTAGCCCTATATGCCTGAAGGTGTGGAAAAAGAGTCCTTTACTTTACTTACATAACTAGTTAATTTTTGGCTGCTTTTTTTTGCAGCTACAGAGCTTTAGGGGATGGGGGAACTAACCCCAACTGTACACTTAGTCACCTCTTAGGTTGATTTAATTGACAGCCAGCGGGCTGAATCTGCTCACCAGAGGTGAAGCAAGTAGCATGTGGATCATTGCCAACAGTTTTGTATTAATGATCTTTCATTGCTGGGGATCGGGCCTCCACGCCACGATGATACCCGATGAGGAAAAAAGTGCAAAATGACATTATTTAAATTTTTCTTTTACAACGGAACATTTTATACACTAAAAAAAAAAAAAAGCATATCTCCAGACAGCCACTTAAATGGGCAACTAATGAAGTGTTGAGGTCCAAAATAACCCCTAACCTAAGATGAACGTTTGTGAGAGGCAAAAGTCCTGGACAGGATTCCATCATGATATTGAAACAACGGCACAGGATAGAATAGAATGGAACAACAGATTGCAAGCCTTTCTTTTTCTGAAAGTCCATGCTGTGTGGCATTGATAGTCATGTCTACCCACAACTGTCTGTCTCATATACTTTCAATCAACTCTGACACAGATGATCTTCCATGCCATGATGGCAAGACCTTTATGACGAATAATGGCATAAAAGGATGATGCGACCTCTACTTCAGAGGTGGGAAACTTGTGCAACACAGCTACGAAGATGCTTGTATTCATGGCCTTGGACATTCCACCTATTTACTGTTTGCATGGGTGACCTGCTTCAATTGTGTCTAAGTAACAAGGTTCTCTCTGATACAATATTTTATGCAGTGGTAGTCTTGATACATGACAGACCCACCTGATCTTGGTGTGACTTAGTCCCAACTTGTAGAAAACATTCAAATACCCAGTTTATGGAGGCTGGCTTAGCTTCAGAGCAAAACAGCAAATAATTATTCAATTAACTGTTCCTCATAATTAATAAATAATTTTTTGTTTAAACTGCACGCCATCTAATCTGATAAGAATTCAAAACATCATACCTTCAACCGAGGGTGAAAATAAGACCAGACTGTCATATAAAAACTCGCCATATTTCACCAAAGCCAAACTGGCATCATCAGCTGTCTTGAATGTCAAATCATAGCCATACTCTGCAGAGAAAATCATAAAATAAATGAGAAATTATGTAAAACCAAGAAAAATAAAAATATTCTAAAAAATTCTTCTTGTTCTCCCACTACCATCCCATCTCCTTCAGAATCTTTTTTTCTTTTGTTGTTTTCTCCGCCTTTTACTCCTTTAAAATAATTTGATGAATCAGAATAAACAACAGTAAATGTAGATCTACGACTTGTCCTGCCAACAGGGTGTGGCAGCTCACTATAAGCTTTCCGTGGTTTAGTTTTGTAATTTTAAAAATATAGCACAGGCCGTGACCAATCTGGCCAGGCCTTTCTAATTTCAAATTGTCAAAGAATCTGTAATGTGTAAACTTTACAGGAACCTTTTTTTTTTCACTAACAATTTATATATATTTAAAAAAAAGCATGCATGCATACGCAATACCTGCATCTTTTCTTTTTTTTTTTAAACATAAATTTAATAAATACTTTGTAGTTGAGTACCAGCAGCCTTTGCAGATACCTTGAGGTGAGTATAAGTACCTTTCTAGAAAATAGCTGTTTGCATGAATAATATCATGATTAGTGTTCTGTTTTTGCTATGGTCATAACCTGTGCTTGTAATGTTAATTTTCATGTCTTGTGCTTTTGCTGCCACATTTAGATTCTCCAGGTGTCTCTGTAGCCCAGGATTGGAAATTATGTAAAATTCTACATCTGGCGATATGTGCATCAAGATGTAACCAAGCCTTGATTCAACTACTTAGTCAACAGATTATCCTCAGTGCATATTATTTAACAATCAAGCCCTACGATCCCCTCCTCAGTAATTCCTGCAGCGGCTGATGACACTATTTCTTTGTTGGTTTCTTACTCTTCTTTGGCTTCCTGCTAGTGCTCTTGTCTGGCAAACCCTTTTAACTCATTGTTCTTGCAGTCTGGCATGGTTGCAGATTCAGAGTCATTTGGTTCTTGCAAACATCTTACTTCTTGTAGAGCATTCAGTATATCAGCTTGGTCTATGGCTCGTCTGTCATTCACAGTAGCCTTATTAAAAAGCTTACATGCAAGTCTATTAGCTTGATCATATCCTTGCACTTGAAAAATGCCTGTGTGCCGGGGCAAGAAAATGAAACTGATATTTTACAACCAAGACCACCTGAGAGACACTAAGCCAACAGCTGTCTTTGGACCCAGCCCATATTTATCTCTCTGAGAAGTCTTCATACTTCATTCAATAAATCACATATGATACAGGCAAACTGGCATTATGTTATGCTAAGGTTCATTGGCTATTCTTCTTATAATGGTCCCAAATTATCGAGGGCGAAAAAATACCCTAACAGGGCCTCAGTCACATGTAAATTGGGGACTTCCGGTGACTACTGCCACGAGTATCTCCCACGCCGCTATGCGCGGTGTGGAGCGGGGCTAAGCTAGATGGCTGGGACTCAGGAGCAGCAGCTGCCGCATCTCCTGCAGCTTCCTTAATTTTATTTGCTCGTGAGTCCCAGCCATCTAGTTACGCCCCGCTCCACGCTGTGCGCAGCGGGGTGGAAGATACTCTCAGCGGTGGCGGTAGTCGCCGAAAGTCCGCAATTTATATTAAACTGATACCCTGTTAGGGTATATTTTCGGCCTCAATAATTTGGGACCGTTATTCGGAGGATAGCCAGTTCATAATATCCCTTCCGTATCAGCATATCCTTTTGCGGCTATCCTCCGAATACCGGCCGTAAATTATCGAGGCGAAAAATATACCCTAACAGGGCCTCAGTCACGTGTCAAATGCGCAGTTCTGTGTCTTAAAACGTGAGCTTCCTGCGACTTCCGCCATCGCCGAGAGTGTCCCCCACGCGGTGTGGATTAGGGCTAAACTAGGTGGCTAGGACTCACAAGCAGCAGCTACTGCATCTCCTGCAGCTTCCATTTTATTTGCTCATGAGTCCTAGCCAATCCAGGCCGTGTGAGCAGCGTGGGGGACACTCTTGGCGGCGGCGGAAGTTGTCGAAAGTTAGCAATTCGGCGTGGCATTACAGTCCCCGGAAGTGCACAATTGACACATGACTGAGGCCCTGTTAGGGTATATTTTCCGCCTCGATAATTTACGACCGTTATTATCTGCAAAAGGATATGCTATATTGTTATTTGTAGTCTTCAATCAGTGTTGTCCAAGGGGGAATTTGTGTAGAGTTGAAAGTTCTGCTTACTCACTCAATCATCCTAATGACTATGTAAAAACTGTAACGATTAATTACATTATAAACTACTACTACTAGCATAATAATAATTTATATAATTTAACTTAAAAAATTTGCTTTAGTTATTATAACTGTTATAAGTTATATCATTATCACTATACACTTAGTAGTCTTAGATATTTTAGCCTGACACTATATACGTAAAACTACTATAATAACAATGAACAAAGTGTTAATCGTTTAATATATGGTATAAACACCTTAACAAGAATTATATTATAGTACTAGTTAGTATAGTACTGTACTATACTATACAAGTATACGTTGGTGACGTGTCCTCGGTTCTATGGACCAACGTTGCTGCCACCTGTCTATAGCTTCTAATGCAACTACACAAATAATCCAAATTACCTCTGAGTGATTTAAAGAATATAGAATGCGTTTCTCGCAGTGACCAGTTATCTACTAAAACTAGGGTCCTTTTGCCTGGAACTGAGGCCGAACAGAATGCCAACAAGGCCAGGAGGCAGACACCGGCTACCTTCGCCACCATTTTAATTGGGATGTACTACTTGCCAGTTACTAGTTGGCGTGTCTGCTATTTATTTGTTAGCGCACTACGGAGACATAAAGTTGCCAGTATAGCTTTTACATTCCCAAAAATATATTTATGTGTGCGTGTATGTGTGTATGTGTGTGTGTGTGAGCGTGCGCGCGTGTTTGTTTGTGTGTGTGTATATATATATATATATATATATATATATATATATATATATATATATATATATATATATATAAATCACTTGAATCAGGTGGCGTTTCGACGGAGAAGAATTGTTGCAACTGATCTCCAACAAGCTTTGTCTTTCACCCTGGATGTACACTTCGTTTTTTGTTAATCTCCCTGCGCCCCCCCCCCCCCACACACATACACACTTGTCTACCTCTTTCTCACATGCCATTAACTTTTCCTTCCATATATATTTTAAAAAAGCTAATTGGCTGGCCGGAACACGACTTCGTCGAGGCAGTATTTGGGTCTGTCTCCTTTGAGTGCATGAACAGTGCAAGAGTTCTTTTCAGAGCTACTTAGTGGCGAGCAATGCTAAACCATTTTATATGGCACATATAACCTATTCACAATTATAACCAAGAGCCCCCTCCCCCTTTCCGGGATGCTGTTTGAACGTGACATTTTTTTGCCCGCAAAGCAAGCCAAGCCTAGCTTGTTCATTTTGTTACACTGCCCAACGTGTGGGGTATAGTTTCTTGAAGTAGAGGCCGGGATCAACCAGCACGACGATAAACATGGAAAATCAAGGACACACAGCGCATGAATGGCCACGCTGCAGGAAAGAGGACGAGGGACCTTATAAGGGTGGGTGGGCGTGGAGATTCTGCCAAGAGATTATTCTCGATTCGCTCCTCTACTTTTATCCAGGGCAAAGCGGTCAAGCCTAGTACATTAAAGGTCGCTAGTTCGTTTCAGAGACGCGTTGTTCAGTTCCATGGGGAGTAGTCACTGGACTACAGAGTTCGTGCTGTGTGCGACACTTCCTGTAGGCAGCTAGCAGCTCTGCGGAAAGAGATTAAGTTGTATGAGATAACCCTGTGTAATTAAACGATCCTCTCGACGATTTTTTTAGTGCTTTTCAATACCTTTAGACTCTGTGCTTATCAAATAACTTACCACGAATTTTTTAGCTCACAGCATCACCATCATAATCATTGTCTTGTGTTATTTTGTGTCGCATAATGCCCGAAGTCTATTCCTTAATCCCGTTCTATCATGTGAAATCACTTCGATATAATGGATCCAATCGAATCCAGCAGTCAATGGTAGGAAGGGGAGTACATGGAGGGGTGTGGGGATGCGGGCCATCCCGGGTATCACTGAGTGTTGTGATAGTGTCAATAAATCTTTATTTTTACAATAAAATATATGTGGGATGGAAGTGGTGGGGGGGGGGGGAGGAAAATTTCCGCACCTGGTAAAACTTGACTTTGGAACGCCACTGCTAGCACCTTTTTCTTCACCAACCTTCGCTTTAGAGTTTTCCTAGGACATACTCTTTTTCTCAAACTCCTTATTTCCCAGGTCTGTCTGGCAATGCAACATTAAGAAACGTACAATAAAATAAGAGCATGAACAGGAGCCAAAATTTTAGCCAATGTTATCTAGGAGATGTTAGCTCTCTGGGTAGCGGTTGAATTTGGTCAGTTCAAATTGAAGAAGATGATGACTGTCTGGCAATTCTCTGTGTTCTTCCCCTTCTTAAATGCATCTCATTTTTTGTTTATAATTTCCCCGGGAGTTTCTTTTTGAATCCATTTAACTTTCGTTCCGTGTTTTTAGTGGCTCTTCAACTTTCACTGGCACATGTTTTTTTATTGTTTTTTATTTTAAACATTGAAAATACTCAACTTGATTCTAAAACTATGCATCATCAGTTCTCGTTATGCCTAGTGGCACATGAGGCTTCAGAGAGGACTTTCCATGCTTTCCTGTCCTGTGCGATCTTCAGTGCAGTTTTCCATGTCAAAGATGCCGCACTCAGGTCACTTTCCATTGTTCGTCTCATGTTGTTTTTGGGCGCCCCTGTTTTCTTTTTCCCTCTGGTGTCCATGTGAGAGCTTTTTTGGCAGGTATATCAGAAGTCATTCTCATAACGTGGCCAAGCCATTTCCGTCTTCTCTTGGTAATCATACTGTCTAAAGTTTCTTGGTTTGTGGCTTGAAGTAGTTTAGTGTTTGAGTTTGTATCTTACCAGAAAATGTTGATAATTCTACGTAGACATGTGTGGTGGAAGGTGGACAGCTTGTGTGCATCCTTTTTGGTCATTATCCAGCATTCCGCTCCATAAAGAAGAACTGGCAAAATGATGCTCTTGTAGAGTCGGAGTTTTGTTCCTCTGCAGTAATTGTTAGATTTCCAAATTTGCCTCATCCTTCCAAAAGCAGCTCTAGCTTTGTTCAAGTGTGACTGTATGTCTTCCTCTGTCCCTCCCAGTAGGGACACCACACTGCCAAGATATGTGAAATGTTCTACATTTTCAAGAGTTTGGTTATTTATGGTCACTGGTTGTTGGTTTGGACTGTTTGTCATGATCTTAGTTTTCTTTGTATTTATTCTCAGTCCCACCATTTCTGCTGGGCAGTTTAGTCTGTTACTTTTCTCTTGTATATGTTCATGTTTATGTGATAGGAGTGCTATATCATCTGCAAAATCAAGGTCCTCAAGCATGGTGAATGGAGTCCATCGTGTGCCTCTTAATGTCCTGTCTACTGTGTTCTTTAGTATCCAATCAATCACAAGGTTGAAGATGAGAGATGACATAACACATCCCCGTCTTACACCTGTCTTTACTGGGAAAAAGGTATTGTAATTTTTTATACTGCAGGAAAAGTCTTTATAGAAGAGAGCAGTTATGTTGACTATTTTTTTCTGGAATTCCATAATGTCGAAAAATTTTCCACAGACCGTCTCTATGGACGCTGTCAAAAGCTTTCTTAGAGTCCACAAAATTAATATATATACGTCTCTGCCATTCATTGCATTGTTCTAAAATGTTACGTATGGCGAAGATGTGATCAGTGGTTCCTCTGCCCTTTCTGAATCCTGCTTGTTCCACTCGTGAGCATTTATCTACTCCTTTTTCAAGCCGCATTATGATGATTTTACAAAATATTTTGCTTGGTACTGAGAGTAGAGTAATTCCCCTCCAATTATTGCAGTCTGTTTACTTTTTTGGGGGATATATAAACTATACAATTTAGAGTTAAATTACATAAAGAATTGTGTATCGTTATTGAGATTTTCAAAGATCATATACTGGTTTCGTCTTATTCTAGCAAGGGGGAGGGGTATATATTAATCAATTCTGTCGAGATTGTTTGTTGAATTTTTTTATCATACAGTGTCTCCTTCAAACCATTTCTGTATCAACCATCAAAATCAAAAGGAAAAGTAAAGAAACTTTTTATTAAACGCCATTGACGCAGCCGAGAAATAATGTTGAGACGGATATTTGTAAAGCCCAAGGTTAACAAGAAAATCGAGAGAAGCCAGATACTCGGATTAACCGAAATTTTCAAGATAGGAGATGACCACGAGCTATCACGTGGAACCCAAGAACAACCACGTGTTGCCACGTGGAACGAACATTGGGTATAAGGTAAGACTCCAGTTTGGTCAAGTTAGTATGTGTGGACCGTCAGAGCGAGAGGACGTGAGCGTGTTCGGAAGAATGACAACGTGAGACTGACTGTTGCGAGAGGAAGACCAGACGACACCATCCATCGAAGTCAAGTCCAGCCAGGCCAGTCTGTGGTAATGACAAGATCCATCTATGCGGCGATGTGGAAGTGAAGGCGCCGAACTCTGGTCGATGAATGTGTGAGAAGTCAGCGTGTTGGAATCTAAACGATGTGGTGCATGTAAGCTGTGAATTAGGACACAGACAGGACTTCTATGTAAGTGATGAGATGTGAATAAACTATTTCGTACTTTGAATTCGGTGTCGGCTTGTCCCAGTTATGTCATCTTAAGAATGTGTGCTAAGATCATTCACTAGACACATCATCCCTTAGACGACGACTTGTTACAAACAGAGTTATTGCAACCAGACTTATTACATCAACGTTACGCCGACCACCTTCACATCCTGTGGCCTGACTTGGTATTTGTTTTAGGTGGGGTCGACCTGGCAGTCAAGATAATATTTTAAAGTAGAAAACAAAAATCCGACTGACTAAGATCAATTCCATTTTCCTGTCATGACATGCAGGTTTAAAGGGAACTACATAGCTGATAAACATGCAGATGAGGCAGGCTCGGTCGCGACACAAACCAGGCTGATCAAGTGAATTCTTTACTGGTAATAAAACTATGCGAAAGCCAAGTGATGACTGTGAATCTGCAAACATGGTCAGACTGTAAGAGCAACCAAAACAAAAAAACAAAACAAAAAACAAAAACTGCCAATCACTGCCTTTATTTTACCACTTTTGCGGTGTAGGCAGGGGGTCTTTTATTTTGCCGCCGACAGAAAAAAAAATCCCCAGCCGTACCGAGGATTCGAACCCAGGTCTCCAACTGTACTAGCAGCAGGTAAAAAGGAATGTAACCAGACAAGAACACTGTGCAGGAAACCAACACAGAAACGATGTCTTCAGCCGCTTCACGATGGAGGATTTACTGTGCACGTTTTACTGTATGCTTCGATGTGCAATGCGGACGCTGTGTCTAGCTGCATAGACTGCTATGCTCTAATTCTCTTTCTTTCTATTTAAAAAAAAAATTGTTTATTAAATGTAAAGCGAAAAAATACACATCGCCCACATTCAGCAAACGCCATCGAATAATGTAGATGAAAATAAACTCATTACCTATGTAAAACCAAAAAACAATGAAGGATGTAAAGTAAATTATTAAACCGGGTCACAGTATAAAATAACCTGACCAACCTCTATATATCATGACATTTCCAGTCTAGTATAAACAGAACAGAGATATGTATCTGTGGTTTATTGGTTAGATTATAGCATTTGATA